TGGGGCTGTCAGCTCAATGGCGAGCCTGGGGCATAGGTCCTGGCTACACAGACTCTCAGCTTAGTCTTCTAGACCTTCTGGAGATTACATAAGCCATCCAGCATCTTATATCTGATAAATACCTCTTCTATTTAACCACCCAAGATAGACTGCTTTTCTGCCTGCCTGCCTCTTTCTTCTTCTCCTCCTTCTTTCTTTTTCTTTCTTCTTTCTCTCTGTCAGTCTTCCTCCCTCTTTCCTTCTTTCTTTCTTCCTTCCTTCTTTCTTTGTCTCTTACTCTTTCTTTCTTTCTTCCTTCCTTCCTTTCTTTCTTTCTTTTCTTTTCTTTTTTTGGTCAGCCATGGGGCTTGAACTCTGGGCCTGGGCGGTATCCCTCAGCTCTTCAGCTCAAGGCGAGCGCTCTACCGCTTGAGCCACAGCGCCACTTCTGGTTTTCTAGTGGTTTATTGGAGATAAGAGTCTCACGGACTTTCCTGCCCGGGCTGGCTTTGAACTGCGATCCTCAGATCTTAGCCTCCTGAGTAGCTAGGATTATAGACATGAGCCACGAGCGCCCAGCTTTTTCTTTCTTTTTTTTCTTTCTTTCTCTCTCTCTTTCTTCCTTTCTTTTCTTCCTTTCTTGGGCTGGTCCTATGTTTGAACTCAAGGCCTGGGAGCTGTCCCTAGTATTTAAGCAATTCTTCATAATGTTTATGCATCATGATATTACATTGTTTTTACTGTTGAAAGTTACTAATTAAATATGGAAAATATAACAATGTTTTTTAACTCTCTTATGAAAGAGTTACACATATCATGATGTTTTCCACAGGGGAAAGTGGTTTCTATCTCTCAGAGACTCATAAGGTACTGAACTTGAAACCTTTCTTTTCTTTTCTTTTCTTTTTGGGTCATGGGGCAGCATGGGTGCTGTCCCTGAGCTCTTCAGCTCAAGGCTAGCACTCTACCACTTGAGCCATAGCACCACTTCTGGTTTTCTGGTGGTTAATTGGAAATAAGAGTCTCACAGATTTTCCTGCCTGGGCTGGCTTTGAACCACAATCCTCAGATCTCAGCCTCCTGAGTAGCTAGGATTACAGTCATGAGCCACCAGGGCTTTGTACATATTCTTAAAAAGTTCTAGGGGAGAATTACCCAGGAGCAAATAAGGAAACAATATATGACTGTAGATTTCTTATTATTGATAATATTGTTATTACCAAATATTACTAGGTATCAATGAACAAGTGCTTCATATGATTTGGTAAGATGCAGCTAATTACATGTTACTAATTAAGTTGTGCAGCTCACCAGAAATATCAAGTTCTGAACAGAACTTCTAGATTGGACGTTGACTTACTATTTAATTCTATTTCCAAAGCACAGTCACGTCTCAGAGGACAGCAGAGCAGGGAGGAAATCAAGCTGATCTGACTATATAGAAGGACAAAGCATGAAATCCCTTTTGTTGGGTCACTTTGTATTTGTAAAACACAGGGGATCAGAGTGTACAACACTTAGGGTAATGAGCCTGTTCAAAAGATGATTATAATATTCTTAGATGGGGGCTGGAAGTCTAACTCCATACTAGAATACTTGCTTGGCCTGGCATGTGTGAGACCCTGGATTCCATTCTCAGCAACAAAAAGAAAAAAAAATACAACCTAAAACACAAAACTTGGATGATACTAACATTCAGGTGGAGAGATGCTCACTGTCATACTGGGTCATCAAGGTTAACTTTTGGAGAGCAGCATTTTCTCAAATCCACTTTGATTCAATCATAAAACATACATACAGTGGGGTCGATACAGGCGCAGGGCTTTTGGTGATCAGCTTAGGGCAATTGATTGGCCATCACCTATGACATTGATTGCAGTGAGAACAGGTCTGGATTCTCAGCAGCTTGCAGGGAGGGAGGGGGCAGGAGGGAGGAGGGCATTCAGGGTAAAGAAAGCTGCAAAGCTTCAGAAGTGTTGAAGCGCCTAAGAATGGGAGAATTACAGCTCCTGGCTGGAAGGAAAGAGTTGGGTAACGAATGACACCCTTGTCAGACACCTTCCAATGTGACAGTGGAAGTACATTCTTTCTGTGGCTGGTGATAATACCTAGGATTTGCATTTTTGTTAACTCGACTTCATTTCCATAATACCCTATTATCAAGAAATTGCATAGGTGTTGTCTCAATTGTCCACCTTCTTTTGCTAACCCCAAGGATGAGAAAGTCAAGGTAATGACCTGTATTTGGCAGGAGGCAGAGAAATCTGATTGGACATTTTTTCTGTGTCAACCTACAATTTAAATCACAGATATAATCAGAACTCTTGAGGAAATTCTGAATCCTCCATGTGCATTTTTCTCAGACCTCAAAAAGTTCTTTGCATGCTTCCTGTTTCATCTTTTCCTATGTACATGTCCACATGTGTGTGAATTTCCCTGGTAGAGGTAGTGCTCAGCTAGTAACACAAACATGTCAGAAGATAACTGCACATCAAAACGCCATTGTTATTGTAGACTTTTTGAAAAATTCAAGTTTTATCTAACTAATCAAATGTTCTCTGATGACTCTTTAAAGCTCAGTCTAGGAAAGCTGTGCTTGGCATTGTAGAGATTAAATATGTGCTTGCACTGGAGACTCCTTTTTCTTTTTCCCATCATGAATATTGCTTTTTGAGAGCAGTTTTTTTTAATTTTTAGGTATCCATATTGTGTATAGTTATTGTTTCAAGCAGGAAAGTGACATAATGTTGTGTGTGTGTGTGTGTGTGTGTGTGTGAGAGAGAGAGAGAGAGAGAGAGAGAGAGAGAAAGATATCCTGGGACTTGAACTCAGGGTCTGGGTGCTGTGATCAAGGCTAGCACACTTGGGCCACAGGTTTACTTCCAGCTTTTCTGGTGGTTTAATTGGAGGCAAGAGTCTCATGTACTTTTCTGCCCAGGCTGGCTGCTTTGAACCTTGATCCTCAGAAGCTAGCCTCCTGAGTAAGCCAGGATTACAGGTGTGCATCACCAGTGCCTGGCTCTGCCTTTCATTTTTAAAGGATCATTTGAACAATTCTATAGAGCGGGTAAAAGAGGCCAGGAAGAGGTTTCTGGAAAAGTCTATAGTGAAGAGGTGATGGTGTGATAGCCGCTAAGTAGTTGCAGTGGAGAGGGAGAGGAGAGGGAAGGTTTGTGATTTTGGTGGGGGACGTAGGACCACCAAGCTTGAGGAGAGATGAGAAAAGAAAACGGTGCTGTCACTGACTGAGATGAGATGAGAAACTCAAGGGAGGAGAAAACGCTCATGAGGCATTGCCGACCAACATTCTGTGTGGGCAGATTGAGATCAGAAACCAAATCAGAAGGTGGATAAAGGAATGCAGAAGCAAAGAGCAGGCAAGTGTTTTCTTGTTCATTTCAAAGTCTGCACACAACACCTAGGGGTTCTCAGCTTAGTTTCCCCACATTAGGGCTTGGGGGCTTTCAGCTGCTCTTCTTCGGACACAGCCTTGAGAACTTCAGTGGAGCATTACCTGAGAGGGATTATAGAAGTTTCTACTAGAACCCAGACTATACGCATACTGTTCACTGCTGCCAGATTTTTCTTTTCACTTTTCCATTCAATGAGACTTAAGGAAAGGAAGCACTCAGCATTCCCAAATACCCAATCTGGAAGTCACCAATCATATTTATGAGACTGAAAAGTGTCAATAAGCTACTGAGATAAAACAATCCTGCTGTGCGTGTATATCCAAAGTATGTCCAAGAGACACCTGTGCTTCTGTGTTCATAAGAGTCAAGATTTGGAATCTACCCAAGTATCAACCAATGGATGAATGTACAAAGAAAATATGGGGGGCTGGGAAGGTGGCTCAGTGGTAGAGTGCTTGCCTTGCATGCATGAGGCCCTGGGTTCAATTCCTCAGCACCACATAAACAAAATAAGCTGGAAGTGGCACTGTGGCTCAAATGGTAGAGTGCTAGCCTTGAGCTGAAGAGCTGAGGGACAGCGCCCAGGCCCAGAGTTCAGGCCCCATGACCGGCAAAAAAAAAAAAGTAAATGCATATAACTATTGATAGAAAGTATAAAATAAAATAAAAATGTGCTACCTAGAGTGATGATAAATATACAGACATATGACATAGAATATGCTAGTAGAATAAATTTTAATACACTTGGTTATTCCCATTGTCTTCAAGTTTCTAATTTTGCCACAAAGGGGAAATTTTCAGAATATTTTCCCTCCATCAGCACTAAATTTAATGTGTGTGTGTGTGTGTGTGTGTGTGTGTGTGTGTATACCAGTACTGAGGCTTGGACTCTTCCTAAGCTTTTTGCTCAAGGCTGATGCGCTACTACTTGAACCACAGCTCCACTTCCAGCTTTTTGCTTGCTGGTTAACTGGAGATAAGTGTCCAACAGACATTCCTGCCTGAGCTGACTTGGAATCGCCATCCTCAGATCTCAGCCACCTAAGTAGCTAGGATTACAGGCCTGAGCCACCAACACCCAGCCTTCAACTCAATTTGATAAGTATGGAGCAGTGATGGCCTCTGGGAAGGCAGGAGGCGTGGGACCTGGGCAGGTGCTGAGCAGCCCTCCACTGGATCTGCAGAGAAGTTCCGATTCACTAGAGCTGGGGGTCAGGTCAGCGTGTTCATGTCAGGTCAGAGACTCTTGTGTGTTTGAATGTGTGTGATTAAAAGATGGGAGAATGCATCGCTTGTTAACATGTCTAGAAACTTAACCGTGAGGGATGGTGCCCTTTTCCCACCCACTCCATCCTCATTTATCACCTTAAAGAATGATCTCTGGGGCTGTTCTCTTAGAAAATGTAATTACTCTGTAATGAAATGGTAATGCCATGTTCTATTCTTAAAGTCACTCGTTACAGTGATGAAGCGATGACTTAATGGAGTTGCTAAATTTTCTCCTAAGTCATTCTTCTTTTAATATGTTCTATTTCCTCAAATGAGCTTGTGATGGGCTGTGTCTTTTTGTTTGCTTATTGTTGTTGCTGTACGTTTTTACAAACACAGGACTATCTCAGCCCAAACTCATCATCAAGCCGTCAACTTCAACATCTTTGAGGGCATGGTCTGCCATGGAGTGCCGCTGGTGACTATCTCCAGAGGCAAAGTGGTGTATGAAGCTGGAGTTTTCAATGTCGCTGCAGGAGATGGGAAGTTTATTCCCCGCAAGCCATTTGCTGAATATATTTACAAACGAATCAAGCAGCGGGACCAGGTGAGTAGCGCCCAGGTAGACTAGTGTTGTGGGCTGGATTGACATCTGCTCCTGGGTATCTGGATGATGGTGATAGTGTTGGTGATGGTGTTGTTCCCACTCAGTGGCTTCACATACTCTTGTGTGTCAGGATCGAGGGGAGATGTGATAGGCAGATACTCATATAGGCACACATCTCTAGCCCTAACTATTGCACAAATGGAGATCAGGGGTTTTGTTGTTCAACGCTAGCCCAAGAAAAAAAGTTCCTGAGACACTCCTCCATCTCCCCCCAAAAATAAAAACGTTGGGAGCTGGTGTAAGTATCTATCTTCACAGCTACACAGGAAGCACACACAGAAGATGGTTACACAAGGCTGTTAAGAGCAAAAAAGCAAGACTATCTATGAAAAAATAATGAAAAGCAAAGGGTCTGGGGGCAAAAGTGAAGAGAACTTGGCTGTCAAGCACAAGACCCTGCGTTCAAACCCCTGTTCTGCGCCTGCTCCACCCCCACCCCAAGTGTCCCAAAGAGAAAATCAGTAGAAGAATGCATTTTCCTTTGTCGATAGGTATCTATGATGGCCTTCCTCATGTTTTATCCAGCAGATCAGGGCCTTTGGGGGCCTCTGGCAACTGTGTTAAATAGAGTTCTCTCACATATCCACATGGCTAATGGTGAGAAGAAATGGGAGGGAGCTGAAACAGCTACTGGAGGTGCGGCCTTCCTGTGAACCCCGAGTTCAGTGCTCAGCCTATTCCTTTGCTCCCTGTGGTTGAAAGCTGAAAGGTGCCATCTCATGATCACCAGCTCATGATTGCGTTTGGGTCAATATAGATCTAAATATGAATTCTGCTTTCCCTCCCACTTTCTAGCTATGTGGCAAGTTCCCTATCCTTCATTGTTGGGATGTTTTCTCATCTGAAAAATGAAAACATTTCCTTCCTAACAAATTATGAGACTCAATTAAGATTTTTTTTAAAATATACGTCACATGGTAGGAAATCAGGAAATGTCAGTTCTGACCCTTTGCTTTCCCATTTTGGTGAGCAAATCATTAACAAAGGCCTCCATGTTTGTGTAACACTTCTGTGTTATAACAGAGACATTTTTTTAAAGAGGTATTGATTTTATCTAGGGCTTTTACATTCTTTTAGTTGATACAGAGTTTTAAGTAGTCTCTAAATTTTACTGTACTTAACATAACTAAATATTGGAATTTTCCAGAGTAAAAGGAGAAGAGAGGTAGCCCCGTGTTCTTTCTCAATCCTATATCACAAAAATAGACGATGGCTGCACGAGTGGCCTAAAGAAGACCGACATTCTGCTTCCCAACCAGCAGTCTCACTCTTGTTTCTTGTCTGGCCAAACAGACTTTGTTACCTTTGATTCTCTCTGAAGTGTCCCTTGCTTCTTTCAGCTTTTCAAATATACATGGATTTTACTAAATTCTCCAGCTGTTTTTTAAATTCATTTCACTTAGTCCTTGCAGTCTCTTTGATTTCTCCTCTAATGTTTTGTGAATTTTTTTACTTTGTTTTCTCAGAATCCAGCACATAAGATTCTTATTAAGCACACACATACACACACACACACACACACATGCACACGCACACATACACACACACACATACACACACACACACACACACACACAGTTCCTAAGATGTTGAATAGGTGTTCTAGAATGCTTACGTTGAAATTCTTAAATTAAATATAACATGCTACAATTCTTGGGGTCTCCCCACTTTCTTTTTTAATATTTTTTTCTTTTTTTAATATTTTTGGCATTGGAGATCAAACTCAGAGCTATATGTGTGTGTGTGTGTGTGTGTGTGTGTGTGTGTGTGTATGTGTGTGTATATATATATATATATATATATACTACATATACATATACATATATATATATATATATGCCTGGCAAACTAATTCTACCACTAAGTTATATCCCAGTTCTGTGATTCTATATGTACTATATTTCAACTGAAATAGATGTGCTTAAAGTGCTGTGGAGTTAATTTATAGATGTTGACCCTGGATCTAGATGTTTTTGAGCATCTGTGTGGTAAACTGCCGTATGACTAAATGTGAGGCATGTTTCTAAGAGCTCTGTCTTACTGCCCCATTTGGAAGGCATGCATTTTCTCTCTTATTTTACAATTAGAAAACTGAATCTTCAAAAAATTATAAAACTTCCAGGCACTGGTGGAGCCTACAATCCTAGCTACTTGGGAAAAGCTGAGATCTGAGGATCCGGGTTGGAAACCATCCTATTCAGGAAAATCTGTGAGACTTTGATCTCCAATAACCACAAACACAAACTACAACAACAACAACAACACCCTCCTCTCCCCCCCCACACACAAATAGAGCTGTGGCTCAGATGGTAGAGTACCAGGTTTACCAAAAAGTTAAGGGACTGTGCCCAGGCACTAAGCTGAAGACCCAGGTAGTATGTGAAAGATCTGACCAAGAGCCCTGACTATACGATACCAACAATTGTATAGTGAAACAATAAACTATACTGTACTTGAGTTAAATAAAGTAATAAGCAAGAAATTAGTCGGTGTTAGATTTGGGAACCAAAACCAAAATCTTTATTACAGATTTATAAGAAATTGGTTCATCCATGAGGCTGTAGAAAGTGTGGATTGAGGAAATTATAAAGAATAGAAACAATGGAGCATGGGTGATAGATGTACTGCTAAGTATACAGATTCTTTGAGGTCAGTTCCAGTTGGTCATCACCAGAAGTGCTAGACTAGCAAGGACACTCCCCAGGGACTATATTTAAATAATAGATTTGTCTGAGGAAAAATGTTAAGGCATCAGATGTATTCAAATGGTTGGTGCCATTAGTTCTTTTCAAATTATTTGTGTTTTGCTGGAAGAATTAATGTCTACATCATTTTTATGTGTTGCCTATCACACTTTGGTTCTTAATATTTTCTTCTGATATTAAACTGTCAAGGCATTCTGTTACATTATTTTTAAATAGCAATGGATAATAATTTTATTATTATACATTGTTTTTAGAACACTAATGGCCTAGAATCAGTATTATATTTAATCTGTACATTCACATGAAAGAGATTATCATGCTCATTCTCAGCTTCCTAATAAAATAGAAAACTGAATCTCATTTAAAAAATTAAGTAATTTTGATAGGGTAAGAAGTAAACATAAGAGCCAAAATTTGTGATAAGATCTTTTTTATTCCAGTGTACCATAAGCTATCCACAGAAAAAAGAATAGAGGGACAATAATTGTGAAATTCAAATTCCATTATTTTAAAAAGGTACTGGGAAATGAAAAGTTTCTGGAGATGTTTCAGACCCCTCTCCTAATTAGGCAAATATAGAATAAAAATATGACACTAAGGTTAAGAAAATAAATTGTCAGGAATGCTAGATTTTAATTTCTCATGAGGTTATCAGAACTGTTCCCTTGGTTTTCATTTAAAATACGTGACATTTCTTGGGCTGGGAAGGTAGTTCAGTGGTAGAGTACTTAACATGTATAAGACTCAGCATTTAAACCTTAGAATCCCAAACAAAATTAAAATACTTCAACTGCTTTATGAATGAGGTTAAGAATTTGAAGGCAAAAAGGAATAAACCATAATGTATATCCTTCTTTTCTGTTTTTCTCCTCCCAACCATTAATTACTTCTAATTCCGGACTCTCAGAACATAAACTACAGCTGGGACCAATAGCTCACACCTGTAATCCTAGCTACTCAGGAGGCTGAGATCTCAGGATTACAGTTCAAAGCCAGCCTGGGAAGGAAAGTCCATGAGACTCTTTCTCCAATTAACCACCAGAAAACCAGAAGTGGCCCTGTGGCTCAAGGTAGAGTGTTCACCTTGAGCTGAAGAGCTGAGGGGCTGTGCCCAGGCTCAGAGTTCAAGCCCCCCCCCAACCACCAAAAAACAAAACAAAAAAACAAAAACTATACACCTCAGAGCGACATCACTATTTACCTGCTCCAGGGCTCAGCAAATTATCTGTCTCCTTTAGACAGTATCTGATAATTCCATGTTGATACTTGACATATAGTGGGCATTTGGTAAGTTAATAAACTAAGAATGAAAGGGCCAAGGCCATGTTTGCAGAGGAAAATAGAAGGAGATTTAAATAAGTGTGCTCAGAAGATTAATCCTACTCCATCTTAGATAGTAGTGTAATCTGTAAGCTTGATTCTTGTTTGTGATTTTATTATTTAATAAAATATATATGCATCAAGAAACTAAAACTATTATTGGATGGTATAAGGCACTTCAAAAGAAGTAACAGACATTTCATCCTATTTGACAGTTTGGGAGAATTGTTATTTATTTTAAAATTTAGACAGCTGATACTTAGAGGGAAATTTTTCCATCAAATGATGACATCAAACTGATACATATAGTATAATAAAGCATTCAATTGTAAATAAAACATCATTTAAGGAAATTTTGAAGGGAAGGAAAGAATAACAAAAAGAATAAGAAATAGAAGTAACAGCAACTTAGATATTCGAACAGATTCCTCAAAGGACGAAGTTACATACTATTATTTCTAAATATTATATAGCACTTCAAATTGAAATGGATTTTATTTCTGGAATTCTTATGTGTTTACAGTGATATAATTTCCTCTAAGTATGGACCTTCCTTAGGTTATTCTCTATGTCATCTCTTTTCCTCTCCCCCCCCCAGTCATAACAACTTAAAACCTCCGTGGGAAATACAGATCCCGTTTGATTTTTATAGAGAAACAAGCACAGTCTGGTGGGGTAGTATATGGTTTCAGAATACTGATGTTAAAGCTTTCGAACTGGATTGTATCTTTCCAATGATAAGCGTAATTTGCCTTCTAGATAAGATAAAATGGAGTGGATGACTGATTTGGTCCTTGAAATGAGTATTTTCGATTTTTTGAGATAACAGTTTGTCAATGCCTTGCTCAAAGTGGTAGTTCAGAGAAAGTAATTTAAGACTTGCCACAGACTGCCATATAGATGTAATTTCCTCCAATCGATTGCTAATAAGAATAAAAGGCAATGCCTGTGCTGGAGCCAGCTCCTCCTGCCCACAAGAGATACTCGTGTGTATCTCTGTGCTGATGTGACTATCACTTCCACGGCTTGAAAGCAGATTGGTGGGAGTATTTACACCACAGAAACAGGCAAACACTATCAACTAGTATTTTAAGGATGATGGGAAAAGACAGGCTAGGGCTGGGTATTACAGAACACTACTGTATTTAGGAAAGTTTCTAAATGCAATTTGAGCCTGAAATCCAAAATGCTCCAGAAACACTATGTTTTTAAGCCCGACATTACATGAGAGCGCTTCAGTTTTCAGTTTTCAGATTTTTGGATTCAGAGTGTTCAACCAGTGAAGTCTATGTGAATAGTTAAAGTTACAAGGAAAAAATCCTTAACACGTCAGGTCCTAAGCAGTTTTGCTAAGGGATTTTTCCCCCACCTGAACTCTCTCTTTATGTGTTATCTAATAATTCAGAGTTCATTTAGAAAATACTTATTGGTCATCAAGTAGATTCAGCTATGGTCTGAGTCTTCTAAGAACCATGGAAGGAAAACAGTATAATATTCCTATTGTATAGATAAGGAAACTGGAGTTTAACATGGCAGCACGTTAATCACAAAGTTTAATGCTTGCACTACACAAGGAGAACCGATGCTGCCTGTGTGGGTCTCAGAGGCAGGTCGGCAGTGAGACAGTGCAGAGCCAGAGCCAAGCTGGCTCATCAGACCAGACACCTGTAACGGTCATTGTAACCAGGAACCAGACCACACCTAACACTGCCCTGCTCTCTGAACAACCAAGAAGTCATTGCTAGACAATCAGTGACCTGGGATCTGCCCACCAATCACAGCTGGCCAGCAAGAAAATTCAGCCCAGAGAAGAGATACACAATTAAGCAAGACAAAGGAGTATGAGGGACGTGTACTCAACCCAGGCCAGGACAACTTACACAAAGAAAGAACCCTACCTGGGAGAGCAGGAGCACATGTGGTAGGGAAGGCTCTAGCTCCCTGCTGTCCTGATTATCTGGGCCCAGTTACAAACAGAAACTCATCAATACAAAGGCCCTCGGTTATCATTTGCCTGGTGCAGGTTGTAGGCTTCCCCCTGAGCCTGCGGCTGAGGTAGGCTCAATCAAAATACTCAAAGAAACCTTGCTATTTTTGTTTTCTTGATTATTATCGTTATATTCCTTCGGTGTCCTTCTCCATTTGTCTGCCTCCTCCCACTAGTCCCTCTCCCATTCCAAACATATTTGAGCTTCTTGATACTGATGTGAATTATTCAAAGTGTTTACCTCATGGAGCTTCACTCCTGCGCTTACTTTAGTCATGTATCGATGCATATGACCCTCGGCCACAGGGACAGGTGTTGGTGACTGGAATGTATTGGTTTGGGTTGCCAAAATATGATTCACAGTAGTTGGTGTATATGCTCATAAGGGTGTGTATAAGTGCATGTGTATATTATTAGTGTTATTTCAATTCTTAGGATGTTCTTCTCCACTAGATGTTATTCTCCACACTTCCCTTATGTTTACTCATCTTAACATTTCATCTTCCTAACCACTCTTGAATGTGGGTGCAGTTTTTAATTTTTTTTTTGTTTATGTGGTATCAAGGAATCAAACCCAAGGCCTCATTCAGGCTAGGCAAGCACTCTACCACTAAGCCACATTCCCAGCCCCTAGGTACAGTTTTTTAACCCCAATGTCAGCTAAAGAAGCTGGAGCACAGTTGTCTGGGCTCTCTGTTTACAGAGCCTAGGCCCTAAATCATTGGGGTTTACAAATGGCCATTTGGTTTGCCAGGAAAGTACACATGTTCACAAACAGCATGATTTAGTCACTTAGCTTACATTCCTTTGCTTAGGAAGTCCAGGTTTGAGAACTCTCAAGCTCTGAATTAATTCAGATTTGGGTATGTAATTGGTCACTGAAAAGGTGAGACTCTGCAGGTCTGTTAATACACCAAGGCAGTCAGGAAAATGAGACACTCATGTGAATTGCTGTTTGAGGCAGAAAATGCTCCGAAACTAGAGGAGGTAGACTGGAAAGGAATGCAGACAACTGGGCATAAAGTGAGCAGAAATGGTAGAATGGTGGACAGGGCTGTAGGAGGTGGGATGGAACTCTGAAGAGGGTGAAAATGTGGCAGAAACCCCAGTAGAACATTCTCTGAGATTTGATGCAGATTAAAACCAACAAAAAGCTGTGAAGGGATATGAAGGGTAAACAAAAGGAGGAGGCTGCAATGCTTGGTAAGAAATGTACGCATTATCCTGCCCATGTAATTGTAACCCCTCTGTACAGTATCTTCACAAATAAAATAAAAAAAATAAAACCAACAAAAAGAAGACAGTCAAGAGACTCAGTTTGCTGGAGATACAGTAATAGGGCAAAAAAGAGAGGATGGCACCTATAAGGCAAAAAAGAGAGAAAGACAAATGAGAAAATTATCAGGTTCACTTGTACTCTGTTTCATAAAAGATGCTCTAATTAGCTTTGAATTTGAGATGTCAGTAAACCACAGGAAAAGAAACAAAATACGTTCTGTTTCAGACTTGCATGCCAATGCCAGTGGATCGAGCACTGTATGATGGAGAAGTTATCACACTGAAATCCAGAGAGACAAAAGAGGACTCCATAGCCAGGGCCCAGATGCAGGCTCATTCCTAATCTGGGTGCTGTGGGTAAGGAACGTAGGCAAAGGGAAGTATTCCTGTATGAATAATCAGCATGAGAATATCAGTACAGGAAATGAGCATCTCTTTCTTCTTGTGCCTTTGAAGAGACCAAGGTCAGAAGCTTCAAAGTTTTGATATCAGACTCAAGGATAGTTGAGCCAAGAGAAGACTGATTTAAAAAACCTGTGGACAAAACATTTTGATGTGCCTTCTGATTGAAGAGGGCCTTGGGTTACCTAGAGATTCTGTCTCTGGGAAGTTAGGGAACATTCAACAGAACACAAGAGAATCTTCTATGAATGCGAAGGTGTAGGCTGGTAATATGCACAAGGTCCTGCAGCTATACTACTTAAAACAGCACCATTTCACAATCAATATTTATACACCCACTGGAACTTTATATGGAAAAATGAATCTTTGTATTGTAGATGCAATTAGGTTCCAGAATTTAGAATGCATGAAGAATAAATAGAAAATTCACAAAGTAAAGAACTCAGGAAATAAATTATTCAAGAAATAAATTATATCTCCCCAGTGGGAGATATAATTATATAAGGGAGATAAAATTTTTCAGGAAAAAATGATTTAATAGCAATTTATGTACATTATTTCACATTTAATTTTTGAGAGAATGTTATAGATAGGATAATGTTGGCCAAGATATTTGAGTACTTCATCAGTTTCCTATCAGTCTTTTGATATTCAAAGAACTTTCTGTTTGAAAGTTCTGTGATCACTGTTCTTTTTCATTTTTTTCCCTTCAATTGCTTTCTGGTCCTGCTCTGGCAGATCAATGGCTTGTCTATGTTTTGTTTTGTTTTTAAATTTTATTTATTTAGTACAGGTACTGTTGAACTCAGAGCCTTGTACTTTTGCCTGGCTTTTTCATTTAAGGCTGGCACTTGAGCCACACCTCCACTTTGGCATTTGGCTGGTCAATTGGAGAAGAGTCTCATGAATTTGTTTCCTGGGCTGGCTTGGAACCACAATCCTAAGATCTCAGCCTCCTGAGTACTAGGATTACAGATGTGAGCTATCAGCACGTGACTTTTGCTATGGTTTTAGCATCTCTTTAATATCAGTTCCACTTGAGTTCATAAATTATGTTGGCTAATTTTGCAGTTTCACTAGACTCTGAAGTTTTGTTCATATGTGGTACATTTCAGAGGGTTCAAGCAGTCTGCAAGGGTCTTACACTAGCTGTTTATATGATGGATAGGGTAGACATTGGTGTGAACTGGAGATATTACTTGTCTAAACTCTGCTTTGCTATGTTCTCGGGCATTGAACATTTTCACTTTTTGACTACCTTTGCTTGCCTACAGACACCTTCGGATTGCAAGGATTTGGATAATGAATACTTGAACAATGAAGCCTTCTTTCATTGTTGAACATTGTCAATCTTTACCAGTGCGATATATCTAATCTCGTGTTTGAGCATTTCTATCATTTCCAGATCACTGGAATTATTCCTTCACTTCAGAAAGCTTTGTTTAAAATTTCAGAGGAAGATGAGCAAGAGAAGAAATGCAATTGAATGCTATCACATGCTATTACCAGCATTTGTAGGGGCAGGCTTTGTGTTTACTTTGATTAGCGCATTCCATGGGGTTAGCTTGAATCCCGTCCCTTTGTGAGGAAGCATGTTATCTGAGTTCTTTTCATTTTCTTCAAAGGTAAAATCAGAGCAAAGGATGCTGAAGTTCCCTTCACAGCCAAATCCTGTCAGCCCATCGAGAAACAGGTCTTATTTCAACTCTGCAAGATCCTTTAGGAAAAATAATCGCTCTGGGTCTCTTTGATTCTCTTTCACAAGCAAGACCTGTCTTCTGCACTGTGCCTTTGTGGCTGCATAAGATTGAAGATATAAATGAATATTATTATAATGGAAAGTCTGTTTGAAGAGTCATTGATAATTCTTTAAAATATTATCTTGGCTTGCACTAGATTTCTGCCTTTGAATTTTTAAAAATCATTTTCTCCTTCAAATTTTTTAATGGCTATATTTGTTTTAAGATGGTAATTTGATTTTCCTTTTTGTTACAATTAATAAACATTGAGCACTTCATTTTATATTCCACTTGTCTGAATTATGTGATTTTCTTTATAGCTCTTGGTATTAGGAACCATGTTTGTTTTTTGCCCAGAGAACATGATTTCCTATGTGATGTATATCTGCAGATTCTGAAAAACCAAGTCCCTTGACAGATCCTATACTGTAATTAAACCAGAGGCCCAACAGTCAAGTAAGTTCACGGCCAGCTGCCCATACCCAATCACCACACTGATAAGTTCTGGATTTCAGGGGGTTAAATGGAGATAGATTGCATCAAAGATGCCACATGGACACCTTCCTCCCCTGCCCTTCTCAGCAACTCCATATAAGCTGAGAGGATGAGCTTCTATTTCTCCCCCTGGGTAAGTAGGCCAAGAGGGATATTTAAAACATGGATTAAAGTCAGGGCAGTTTTGCTATCCTGCCCCTGGCAGGTGCGATGAGATGGGGACAGGTTTGCACATTTCACAAGGAGCGGGAGGAACCCAGTGTGCGCCGCTGTCCTTTGTTTTAAGTGCAGAAGAAAGGTGGCTGATAAGCTGCACCTGGAGGAATCTGCTAATGTCTTCACACTTATGGCTTTCCCCCTCTCATTCTAAAAATACTTTATCCTGTTATCATGCCTCTCAGCTTTGGTTAGCAATGAAAACTCCATGATAGAATTACTGATTCCTCTGTCAGGAGATAGTTCAATTGCTTTCTTACTGGAAGACCAGTTTCTACTCACCTTTGAGTATGTAGCAGAAATGTCACCACCTCACAGAGGATTTCTGGGATTCAACTGAAATATAATGTAATGGAGTCTCTCTGTTGTGGCACACCACCACAGGGCCCATCATGGTCCCATCACAGCACTGTATACAATGTATCATACAGGGGGAAATATGTATCTGTGAGTTTCACATCCCCAGATTCCAAACTCTTTGATACTGTGGATCACAACATTTGAAAAAGGGACTAGGAAAGTGGCTCAGTGGGAGAATGCTTGCCTCACATGCTTGAGGCCCTGAGTTCGATTCCTCAGCACCACATAAGCACAAAAAGCTGGAAGTGGCGCTATGACTCCAGTGGTAGAGCACTAGCCTTGAGCTGAAGAGCTGAGGGACAGCGCCCAGGCCCAGAGTTCAGGCCTCCCAACCAACCAAAAAAAAAATTGAAAAAGAATTCTATCGGTACTGAACATGTACAGACTTTATTTTCTAGTTATTATTCCCAAAGCAATACAGCATGCTATGTACATGCTTACATCATGGTAGTTATTCTAAGTTATTGAGAGTTGAGTGGAAAGTATAAGGGACTATGTGCATAAGTTAAAATGCAAATTATGTCTTACTTGACATCAAAGGACTTGAGCATGATCAGATTTTAGGATCGATGCCCCCTGGGTTCGAGGAACCCCTGCAGCCACCTGCTCTTCTTCTCTGTCTCCTTCAGGAAACTGAAAGCTCACACAGGGTGGGGCATCTCTGATTCACCCTTATTTCCCTACTCCCAGCATTGAGGGCGAGGCAACTGATGGGTTTTGTGTGTATATTTATTAAATTTCAATTAAAGGGGTTAGTGAAGGAGGTGCTGCTAAGTTCTTCAGCTGACTAAGAAGGCAGAGAATACCCAACAGGGACAAATCCTGTGGAGTATCTCAGGGTGGAAGCACAGTATCATTATCTAGTCTATAACTCTGGGAGAAGGAAGGAGCTATTGATTCCTACTCCAACAAAGCCTTATGAATTCAGGATGCCCTTTGTATTAGGTTTTGTTACCAACCATTTTTGTAGAGGCATACTTCTAAATAACACAGAGCAGTCAGAGGCGGGGAAACTATTGCTATTTAATACTGTCATTTTCAAGATTTCCACTGAGGTACAAGTAAGACTGTTGTCACGGAATAAATATATCCCTGAGGTCTGTAGACAGAATAATAGAGTGAATAGCATTTCTTCTCTATCGCATTCTTCCATCCTGCCCTCCACCCCTGGCTTGCTTCTCCACAGCAGCATGGTATATGGGGGCGGGGCGGGGCAGCTCTGAATTTGGCCCCTCTGTTTACCCAATGTGAGGATTTGGACAACTTCTAAAGTTCGAGTATGAGAGTATCAAAATACACAAAAGGCAAAGAAGTAGCTTGTCTGGCCTTTATGTGCTAATCAGCCAGCTGAAGAAAGAACTTTGCCAATGGAGTTGAGGTCTCCTGGGCATCTCTCTCTGACCTGTTCACCTTCTTGTCCTCAGTAACCAGCACCTTCCGTCTGTGCCTCTTCCTCACGCACATGTGTTACACCTTCACTATGCACACACATATCTCCATGTACTGTTTTGTAGCATTGTGTAGCATGCCTTGTTTTCATATTAATTGCTTCTGTTTTGTATTCAGTGTGCTCGGGAGTTATTAACTAGTTGTAGATACTTCTCTCTTGCTGGACAGTATTCTATCTAGAGCTAGACCACAAATTATTTACCCAGGCTATTGTTTGAAGGACATTTAGGTTTCTATTCTCTTGGTATCACACATGGCTGACATAGGCTCTTTAGCACAGGTGGTTCGCATGTACGCATGTGCTGGAGATTCTGTGGGGTGCCGCTGTTCGTGTAAGGAGTGGAATCGATGAGCTGAGGTGTGCCCACCCTTGCCTTACTGAGATGGTGACAAATTACTCTTCAAACAAGTTAGTTGTGCCCTTAGTAATAGAGTGGATATGTTTCTATTTCTTCATCAGCTCACCAATATTAACTCTTGTTCCACTTACTAATTTTGCCAATCTGACACTTGTCAAAGGTGTCTTACTAAGGTGCAAATTGAATTGTCTTTCTTGGAATGCTAATGAGTCTGAACTCACTTTCCTTGTGCAATCTAATCTTCCTATGCCTTGGTTTCTTCATCTGTGGGGGACGAATGATGCTAATAGTAACTCATCCACTCCGCATGGTGCTGTGAGCCTATGAGGCGCAGCCAGTATGGTCAGGACATGCTAGCCACAGTCATTCTCATCACTGTGCTAATGGCAATAGGATGTGCTAATCGTGATGTGCTATCCAGAAAGCCTTGGCTGCTCTTCTCTTCACCACAGGGAAGTCCACCAGATCTTGGTAGTGCCAGATCTGTGGCTACAGAGGCATGGATCCAACACTGAAGCAAGCCTGAGCATATGGTAAGATATCAGTGGGCAGGGTGGCCAGAGTGAGGGACGCTGTCAATGATCTGAGCGGGAATATATACACAAATATGGACATGACAGAAGCCTGGATCTCAAATAGCACTTGCAGGTGCAGCAGACGCCTTGTCAGCAGCCACAGCTGGGGGTTCTTCTTGTTTTCTCTCTGTACAGGAGGCAATACCTTGAGTTTGTTACAAGCTTTAAATGCTACCAAACTACATTTGAACCAGTTGAACACAATAGGTAAACTTCCTAAGCCTCAATTCTTCTACTAATAAATGGACTAATACTATCTCCTTTGCCAAGAGGATTGAAAATATTGACTAATCCATGGAAAGCGCCTGGCTCTCCAGCAATGGTAGGTGAAGTTGATTTTCTCCTCTCCATTTTCCACATGACTTTCACCTTCTTGCCCATCTACCTGATACTGAGCCTCCCAAAGGTACTAATACATTAATAAGACTTCGTTTTAGTCAAGCCCATTCTCTCCAATTACTTCTTTTTGGAGAATATCTGTGGACAAATCTTCCTTGTTTTCTTTTCCCTCCCTCCCTCCCTCCCTTCCTTCCTTCCTTCCTTCCTTCCTTCCTTCCTTCCTTCCTTTTCTGACAGTTGTGGGGCTTGAACTCTTGGCTTGGGTGCTGTCCCCCAGCTCTTCATCTCAAGGCCAGTGCTCTACCATTTGAGCCACAGCACCACTTCTGGTTTTCTGGTGGTTTATTGGAGACAAGAGTCTCACAGACTTTTCCCACTAGGACTGGCTTTGAACCGTGATCCTCAGATCCCAGCCTCCTGAGTAGCAAGGATTACAACTCTTTTTTAATTCTTTTAAGAACAGTAGATGGGTCACCTATTAAGTTCTTTCCATTTACAGACCCCATAACTAAGCCACTTAGTTTGTGGTTGTCCTCAACTGCCCTCCACACTGTGTGGCAGAGAGAAGGATTTGGTGAATCCTTCTTTGAAGGAATGAGATAATCTTGGAAGGAAAAGAAGATGGTGAAGGAGGAGAGGGGTAATTTATGAACAAAGTAACATTATGCTAATGTATTATTTGTGTTTCTGTCAGGATTGAATTTGTCTTAAGAGCTATCCATGATGAGTCAATGGCATCTGTAAAAATATGAAGTACTCTAGGGACAAGGTCTCTGGGCCAAGGGTGTTTGTATAACAAGCTAAAGTAGTAAAGAAGCATTAGCAGGGTCTTGTCAAATAGTGACCCTTGGAGGGGGGCTTAACATAAGATGCAGTATCTGTAAGAAACAGGACCTTTGATTTTTTTTCTTTAGTAAGACTTTAGATGGGCTCAACCGACTCTTGATAAGAACACTTATCAGGCCCTTATTATGTTCCTGGACCTGTCGATTCTATCAGTCACTTCTCTTACAGCTTTATGAGAATGTATTATTATTCTTATCTAACAGAGGAGAAAACAAAAGGCTAAGAGAGGTCAAGTGATTATTCAAAGTCTTTGAGTTGGTTCGTGGGTGACCCAAGATGTAAATTCTGATCCTTTTGATTTCAAATGTCCATTCTAGCATATTCCTTAGATAAAGCCCTAGGAAAGAACCCATGGTTGCACAGTTGCCTAAACATCACTAACACTCTGAAGGAAATAATTAGTAGCAAAAAGTCACCAAGAACTTACCTACAAATAAATGATTCCTTTTTAAAATACTGGCAGTTATCATGGAACTAGACTTGAGAAATCTCACTGACCAGGTACGGACATTCTTGGAGTGTTCTGAAGGTTGTATTTGCCTTCTCTTCTGCATTTTATTTGAGACAATTGGATTGATTTGGCATATTTCTTCTCAGTAGCACAGGTGGGAAGTAGTGGGTGAGAGTGACT